CAAATAAATAAATAAAATCTTTAAAAAATAAAAAATAAAATAAAATCTTAAAATAATGAGTAAATAATAAAACAAAGATTTCTTGCCTAAAGTATGGGCAGTTTTTATGCCAGTCTTCTCCTAAATTTGAATTTGGAAATTTTTCAGATGTTTCAGTTTTATTTTTCTAATGATTAAAATATTCTCACTGTGGAAAAAAAAAAAAAGAAAGAGGGCATATGGAAATATAGAATTGATTCAAATAAGAAATTCCAGTTTCCTCCCAGGTCCCACTCCCCAGAGCCAGAACCCCCATTTAGGGGGCCCACACTTGACCTCAGGGCACAATCTCCCTTGCAGAATCATCACAGCTGTTCTAGAGACCTTTTACAGGTGGGGAAACTGAGGCTCCCCCAATGTCGGCAAACTTGCTTACGTTCAGTCACCAGCTAGAGAGCAGCAGAGCAGGACTGAGGGTCCGGGCCCTTCCAGTGAGCACACCCCCCGCCCCCCCACCTGCCTATGCTCCCACCCCGTGTGTGCACACACACGCATACCCTCCCCACCGTTCACCAAGGGGGGCCTCACCCTCCAAGCTCAACAGCTGTTCGCTGTGCACCGACTGCGTGAGGCCCACGGACGGAGGGACCCGCTTAGGGAAGGGCAGACGGACCTGCCATGTACAGAGCATGTGCCAGGCTGGTAGCTGAGCCGATGCGTCCATTAGCTCATTCAGTGGTGGTGGCAACTTTGGGACTCCAGTCCTCAGTTATAGTCGGGGAAATGGGCACATGGATAGCAGGGCCCGCAGACATCGAGGTGGGAGCAAGGTGGATACAACTCTGTGACCACCAGACAGCAAAGGGCTGGGGGGGGCGGGGATCCCACAGAACCAGAACCCCACTCCCGGCACTTGTTGTCGAACGGCACCAAGCTGAGGGTGCCGGCTCCCGACTCATCCACATCTCCGTGAGGCTATTCCCTGGGGCTGGCAGCCTGGTGGTGTCTGGAGGAGGGCTGGCTATGAGATCCCACTGGGCTCAAATCTTGGCCTCACAACCTGCGTGTTATGTGTGTGACCTTGGGAAAGTTCACAAACTTGGGGCCTCAGTTTCTCCATCTGAAAAATGAGGAAGTAATGCCGCCCCCCCCCCACAGGACTGTTTGGGGGCTAAATGTCATCCTCTCCTCACAGCCTTCCCTGGCCACTGCATCTAAAATGCGTTTCCTAGTGCTGCTGTAACAGATGCCCACAAACGTAGGGACCTGAACACCCCAAATGTACTGCCTTACAGTTCTGTCGGCCAGCAGCCCCACGCAGCTCTCACGGGGCTGGAATCGCAGTGTGCACGGGGCACACGACTTACCCGCGTTCTACGGGACAATCTCTTTTCTGCCTTCTCTGGCTTCTGGAGGCCGCCTGCCCTCTCTGGCTCACAGCCCCTTCCACCGTCTTCAAAGCCGGCAGGCTTGCATCTCTGTGCCTTTCCTCGTGGTCATTCCTCCTTCGCTTCTTCTGCCTCCCTCTCCCACTTTTTTTTTCTTTTTTTTTTAAGGCTTCATTTATTTATTTGACAGAGAGAGACACAGCTAGAGGGGGAACACAAGCAGGGGGAGTGGGAGAGGGAGAAGCAGGCTTCCCGCTGAGCAGGGAGCCCGATGTGGGACTCGATCCCAGGACTCTGGGATCATG